GTACAACTTAAAAATCAATTAAAATCAATTTTCTTACCGTTATTTTACTATTTCAGCCGTCATTTTTGAATTCTTCTCTCACGAATAGAATTCACTTTATCTCTAATGGTCAAAAATCAATTATCAAAATTCCTACCAAACAAACACGTATTCTTAGAAAAATTGGGAATCAGACGGGCCCAATATATTCCAAATTTTAAGATTTTGCAACAATGACATGGTTAGGTGTTATATTTATAGGATGACAACTTTTTATCTCATCCCAGCATGCAAAGAGACAAAGATTACCCCACCATGAAGACCCCAAACCCAAACCCAACCCAAATCTGTTTTAGTTTTATTATATTTTAATTTTTTTCACTTTAATTTGTATATATATAAAAAAAAATATTAGACTAAATTGAAATATTTAATCCCGTCCCGCCTTTCGCAAATTTCAAAGAAGCAGGGATGAGGATTACGGCTCCGATCCAGTCATGATCCATTGCTATATATATGTACCTTGAAATGGGGGCCAACGGAGGTGTGGGATGTTAATTTTAGTACTAGTGGTTTATTTAGTAACTAAAATTGAAGGAAAATTGACTTTTCATGATCCGATCGCGATGAATTAAAAGTTTGATGACCAATTGAGATTTCACTAAAGCATACAGTGACCAAAAATGAAATTAATTAGAAGTCTTGGTATCCTCGTAGTGGAGCCCGATTCCTGGTTTCTAACTGTTGTAGTGTTGTACATATGGGGTGACGAGAATCTAGAATTATAAAACAGCCGGCGCTTGTTCCGTTCATTTCATCAATTCAAATTCGACCCTACAACCCCCACTCCCATTTTTCTGTTTTTCTCTATCATCTTCTTTCTTGTTATCACATTCGAGAATTTGGGCTCCCATTGGAGTCTTTCATAACCATACGCCTAGAAATTATTATTTGTTTTCACTTAATCCCAAGTAGCATTTCTCGAAGGTAATGTTTGTTTCACTAAATCTTTGTGTTTTCAAGCACTACTATATGTCATTTGACCGATCTTTATGCTTAATGTATTATTCTCCACTTTTGTCAATTCTAAACTATTGAAATCGTGGGTTTGTTTTGCATAGGATCCGGAATCAGTGGCTTCAAGTACTTAAAATGGGTTGGAAGGATACGATATCTTTTCTTCGTGCGCCGAATTTCGGGCAAATGTTTGAGGTTTGTACGAGATTTTGTTTCTTTTTCACCTTTTTGATGTAAGATTGGTTCTTTTCAAGAAATTGCTTAAATTAAGATTGATAGGGGTGGCTATAATAATGTAAGATTGATGGTTTTCACAACAGGGGTGGCTTTAATTTTATAAGACTAATGCTTTTCAAGAAATTGCTTACATTAAGAAGAAATGAATGTTTTAACTTTATTAAGATACTTATTTTTTAAATTGTGGATCATGTTCTATAAAGACAAAAAGTAGCTTGCTTGGGGATTAATGTTATGCAGTTTAAATGTTTAATTTCTTTGGCTGATCGGTTTATTACTCAATGATAGAGACGAATTATTCTAAACACATGCGGTGTTCATTGGTTGAAGTGCTCAATCTGAAACTAGTTAATTTGTTTTGAAGAATGCGGAAAATCTAGTAGTGTTTGGAAAAATTATTGCCTTCTCCCAATTGTGTTGATCAGAACAATGAACTGAAGAGGTTCTACTATCAGTTGATATGGTATTAAATCCATATTAAGCTTTGTCCTTTCTGAGTTCGACTTTGGATGGTGATTTTACATTTACGTTAAAATTGAGAGAGATTTAATACATCTAAATTTTTAACCGTATCTCTGTATATGGGACATTGTGCTTTAATTGATAATTTCTTGTTCTAAGTCAAGAATGATCCGATTTTCAACTTTTTTCTCTGTTTTAGTCATTTCTAAAATTTCCCTGGGGATAAACTCTCATAGTTAAAATTGATGAAAGCAGTTTAGCTCTTTTGCTGATATTTACACACACACTAGTTAGAGAATAAGAGTTTCGTATGATTTAGCCCCTGCTTGGTTCTGATAACAATCTGCTTAGCATCAGAATCCAATACTGTGAAATTGGGAATTTGGATTAAAAATTGCAAGCCAAAAATCAAACAGTTGAAGGGGTCTGTCAACATACCATTCACGCCTCCCTAAATTAACAATTCTACTCTTGGCTTATGTTATGTAATCACCATTTTAGCCCTGACAATTTTTCACCTAATTTTACCTATTTTTTCTCTGCCAAAACAACCTTTTGACCAAGTAGTGGGTGTTGACATTTGAGGATACTTAATTACTCTGCCAAAGCACAAATATTTTAATGATGAGAGGCCAACCTTTATGTTGCCAAAAAATTCAATTTCCCTGCAGGAAGTTGGATCAGATATGCAATGAAATTAGATTAAGAATTTTAAGTTGCATACACATTGGGATTATTTGGATCACAGCATTACATATGATTGGACAGCACAATGGACAAGATTTTAGCTTATTTTTGCTATCTAATACTGTCATTGTTGTACGTTGCACCTTATGTACAAGCAACTAATGTCTAGATCAACCTTATGTACAAGCAACTAATGTCTAGATCATATCTTCAATTCTTTGCTACCGATTCATATCATCTGCTTTATAAGTATGCTGTTTATAATATAAACCGAGATTCTTGGTGAAGCTTCATTGGATTATGATTACTTATGAACCTGTTTTGCAAGATAGCTAGTGATGTTAACCAGTTAATCATGCAAGATATTAAATGATATCGAACTAATGATTATACAGCAATTTCGCAATTAAAGTGCCTTTTGTAATTGAAGTTTTCAATTTTAATGATATTCTATTTTATTATAAACTTCTATATACAACTTAAATAATGCTGTTTCATTCCATTTGCCAACAAATAGGGCAGAGCAAATGAGGTTGAACTTGGATGTCGACACACTGTAAAGTCCCACGGGCCAACAGTTGCAAGGACTCACAAGCATGACTGGCTTATATTGCTGCTTCTTGCTGCAATAGAGGTCATTCTAAATATCATTCACCCTTTCTATCGTTTCGTTGGGAAGGACATGATGACAGATCTCAAATATCCCATGAAAGATAACACAGTACCTGTGTGGGCTGTTCCTGTGAGTATCATTTTATTGCTAGATTATTTGATGAAAATTCATTTGAATTATCTATTTCTTCAGTGATCAAAATAAATAGGCGATGCATTTGATTTAACTTACATGATTAGCTGGATTAAATTGAGTTGGGTGAAAATGTTTGTTTTATACAGTTTCTTATATTTAATTAACCTTGATTTGCTTTCAGTGATCTATTTCATATCCTGTTATGGAGAAGTCGAGCTTCATACAATGATCTTTACTTTTCTTCACAAAATACATCGATTTTATCTGTGTTGCTTATCTTTTTTGTTGGAAAGATGCGAAGGCATGAGATTGATATTTTATGAAGATGCTATTTAATTTTCCATAGTCTTCAGATGATTTACTCAAAATTTCATCGAGCTTTTGTTATAATATGCTATCGGAATAAAGTGGAAATAATAGAATCTTTTTGATGATCAGATGTATGCAGTTCTACTGCCTATTGTCATTTTTCTGCTCTTCTATCTGCGTAGGAGAGATGTATATGATCTGCACCACGGCATACTAGGTAATATAATGCTTTTTCTCATAACTTATTAGAACTTGTAGAGAGTATTAATTTTGTACACCTTTCTCTTTCGAGTGCATGACTTTCTTAGTAATTGATCTGCAGGACTCTTATTTGCGGTGCTAATAACTGGGGTCCTAACAGATGCGATAAAGAATGGAGTTGGCAGACCTCGGCCCAACTTTTTCTGGCGTTGTTTTCCTGATGGGAAAGATGTATGTCGTCTTAAACCTTCAATGCATTGTTACTTCATTCACTTCCCGATTTAGATTCTCTATCTTCAATATCATTATACTGTGCGATGTCATTTATATATAATTTTGGGATTTCATATGGCATAGTGAATTTCTTGTTTATAATAGTTTATGGTTTAAACTAAGCATTCACTGCAGTATGACACATCTGCATTTATCTTCGCGCTGTTTATAAATTAATGTCCATGTTGACTAATAGAACATCTCTTTTCTAATGTATCGAAATGAACTAACAGTGAAGTTACATTTATATTTCCTGCTCCTTTAACAGTTATATGATCGTTGGGGCAATGTGATCTGTCATGGTAAAGACAGTGATATAAAGGAAGGACATAAGAGTTTCCCAAGTGGCCATACTTCATGTAAGTGATGCCTCTTGCTTTGTGCTAGTTTTAGCTCTTGGGCAAAAGTTTAAGGTAATACAAACGGTCAAAATTGCCTATGAAGTTATGTGGATTCGGACTAGGCGATTTTGATCCTGTATTTCTGAAGTGACTATTGGTATGAGAATTTAATCGGTAGTTCTCTTATTTTTTGCTTTAAACCTAGAAGTTGCTGTATGTCTCACAAAATTTTGTAAATTCAACTTTCTTACCCGAGTTTTATTGCCAATGTCTGAACTAATCATCTGACAAAATTTAGCACATATTTCAGGGTCATTTGCAGGTCTTGGATTTCTGTCATTGTACTTGGCCGGAAAAATTAAAGCATTTGATCAGAGGGGTCATGTGGCAAAACTATGCATTGTTTTTCTTCCTATCCTTGCAGCATGTCTTGTTGGAATTTCTCGTGTTGACGACTACTGGCATCACTGGCAAGATGTATTTGCCGGGGGTCTCTTAGGTTTGTTCTTTGCCAACTGTTAAATTAATCAGATTATTTTTCATCTTCCCGTGCAATAAATCCGTATACCTTTTCAGGTCTTGTCGTTGCGACATTCTGCTATCTGCAGTTTTTCCCACCTCCATACCACACAGAAGGTAGCGTATTCACTCTGTTGTTATCCTATACCTTGCTCTTCGTTTAAGTGAATGTACAGTATGAAATACCATTGTTATCTGAGTATTTCAGTTGTTTCCAAAAGTTTTTAAGATGTCTGTACTCGACGAATTCTGTTTTGCCGGAGACACTACACCGATATATTATCAAGTAGCCCAACTTTATCTTCTAGCCAAATTGAAGAGTTTTCAGTAACTAACTAGAAAAATAAACCGTGTATTTTTGAAATGCGTGTTACAGCACTTACTTGGAACAAAACATTGAAAATTATATGATTAGACCTCCCCCAAATAGATGAAACTGGGATTGATTGGTGGAATTCTGAGCATATAGAAAAAAAAAAAACCCATGGAGGGCAGTAGATGGAGTAGTTTTTCTGGATCAATGCCTTTAGGAGCCTCAACAAAATCCCGAAGGTCTAGCCTTGAAAACACTGGATTTTGCTTCGGGATTTTTTGGGTTAGCTCATCGGTAGGAAAGAGTCAGACTGTCCATGGCCCTTTCCAGGGAATAGATTGATATATTATTATCATCACCAGTCTTTCTTCATTTTACAATACCTCCTGTTTTATATCGAAAAATACAGATAAAGTTCGAATGACAAGGGAAACAAAATTGTTGAATATTTGTTTCCATCATGATCAAGTAGTTGTTATATTACAATGCACTTACTTTGGTTGTCTATTGATGGCAGGATGGGGTCCTTATGCCTATTTCCGAGCGCAGGAGGAATCCCGTTCCAATCCACAAACGGACCAACCCATGAATGGAGTCAGCATGCAACAATTAAATCAGCGATCAATGCCGAGAAACATTGCAGAAAATCGCTTAAACTCAAGTTTCGATGACATGGCGTCTGGCATAAGGTAGATTAGGCATAAAATGTAGCTTCTCTCTTTTCTAGTTTAAGCAATTTTCCTCTTTCAAAGTTTCATGCTTGAAAGCATTATTTGATTGCATTAGTCATACAAGTAAAGAAATGATTTCTTCTTTCATGGTTCATAATACATGCTTGTTATTTTGATTATTTTGTTATCAGTGTAGCTGAGAATTTTTCTTTTTCCATCCTTTTTTTTTTTTTGTTACCAGTCTAGTTTAGTTAGTACATGTTTTAATGCAAATAGGATACCAAGTATCAGGAAACATAAAAGAATTAAGTTTGTGTTTGATCAATTTTATTTTTCATGGAAAATGTCATTTTTTCCTTCAAATTCTTACTTTTGGAGTGTTTGATTGACATTTTATTCATGAAAAATATTTTTTCAAAAGTTGGTTACATGCGCATGTTTTCTTAAAAATGAAGAAAAACATATTTTTTTCGTTTGAAATAATTTTCTCTCTCTCTCTCTCTCTCTCTCTCTCTCTCTCTCTCATTCATGATAGATTTATACGGAGATTCTCTTTATATACTAGTTTATATATATTCGGAGAAATGAGAAATCTTTAATATTATAAAGTTTAAGAAAACCCGAGATGTTTGTAAAATATTTGGTAACAGTCTTATTCAGTTCTACGTATTAAATATATCAGTGCATGGTAACCAAATTTTCCTCTTATTCAGTTCATTATTTTATCCAATTTCAGTTTGTATTTTCAAAACTTCCTTTATTTGTTATGTACATTTCGAGCAATTCTTACTTGCTATGGAAATATTTGGTCTACAAAATTTCACAGGTGCATGATATCGTAGATAAATAATAAATTGATGAATAGATTACCGTCCCATGAAAACTATGTCTTTAATTTAGGATTAATTAACTCTTATGTTTAATCAAATAACCGAGTTTGATTATCAATTCTATACTAATTTATATTAATAAACTTCTAATGGGCAAATTATGAAGCTTTCGTAAAATTTGGTTGAATGATTACTGAAACATTGAATCCCCTTATTAATTCAATTTAATATCATGACAATATGTAACGATTCTTGTTTATCGACGTTCCTAAATTTTTTAATAATCTCTATCGAGTAGAATTAAATGTATTCTCTCATGTGACTTTCGTATATTTTTATGAAATATGCGAACATAAAAGCATGCATTAAAAACTTTAGAACATCTATTGAAATCATGTAAAGCATATATGTATAGCTCTATCTTTCATCAGACCTTACAATGATTATTATAATATTTTAGAACAATGCCCTGCATATAGGGCACTGTTTTACAGGGAGCTTACAGGCCCCCTTATTGTAGCTGCAGGTCGATCCCTTTGACTTGCATTAAAAAAAAATTAATAATAATAAAAATAAAAATTGTGCGGGCTCCACCTTTGTGTCTGTCCTAGCTGACCTCTGTAATTGCCTCCCTGTATGTGAAGCGCGATCCAATATTCTATCTATCATATTGTCTTTATTGATAATAATAAAATTCACACATTAATTCAATTAATCAGCAAGGACTCGAAATGCATTAACCCCTACGAGCGCATGGTACTATATTTTGCACACGCATGGCACAGCTGTTTAGTCCCTAACTTTCTTTCAGGCCATGAGTTGGTTCCTTTTCCGTGCAATTTCAATCCTTATTCTTCTAGTCATGTCCAATTGATTCTTCATATTCAATCGTTACTATGTGGTCTGAATAACCTTTTATATGCATTTTGGTCCACGGACTTTTGAATTTTTCATTTTTTGTTGGTTTTCATTCATTTCTTCCAATTTCATGTCGAATCACTGAGTTTTACCTAATAAACCAAATATACTAAAAAAATTAAACCATAATTCGTCAAAAGTATTTCTAAATGTCTACATTTAAAGGTCTAGAAAAATGTATAAAATACCCTTATTAAACACCCCTAAACTTGAACATTTTTGGTCCTTAGACAAAATTGTAACATATCTCAATAAGCAAGCATGCAACAAAATTTCAACTAGATAATCTACGATTTGTCTTGGGATTGATTACAATGTGTTGAATCTATTAATAACTTCAAAATCACAATATAGAAAGCAAATTTCACCTATGCAATGTACAACTGATATATGTGTATAAAGAATTAAGTCAAACGCCATAAATTCATAAGTTGCTTCAATTTTCCACTCGCAATGATCAAATTTACACTCTCTTCACTCGTAAGATACTCACCACTAAACTTATTCTTTTAACTCTCATTCCCCAAGAATAATCCAATGTTCAATTTTCATATTATTCTTCGCTCTCCCTAATTTGAACAGATTTACTAATTACAAGTCAATATCTCAACAAATAGGATTTTACAAATTTTTAATTGCTTCAACCTCTAAAATCAACTTGGTTAATTATCACTTGTCAAAAGTCTAATTCGCTTAAATAAGTGTTTGGGGCTTAATTAATGCATGTGCATGTCTCCTGTTCTATACACATGTTTTTTCAAATTTGTTAGGCATATTCTATTTTATGCACTAGTTTGATCCCTTTTTGAGTTTTCTTTTTTGAATTTTCAATAAATGTCCTCGTTGGGATCTTTTATATGGTAGCAATCACTCATGAATCATGGTACTTTTTTTTAATACAATGATTAGTACAATGTATTTCATTAAACACTTATTCTCAAGAATCGACATTTAGCTTAAGATTCTTATCTAATCTTCATCTTATTGATTTTAGACAATTCACAAAAGAATTATATTGTGATCTTTGGGTTTAACATCCAAGCTCTACTATTTCAGCATATCAATTGTACGAATCAACTTATTACAGTACAAAACTTAATTCACGTGTGCAAATGATATCAAATTCTACATATATAAGTATCAATTAATCTAAGCATGTAATATATTTACAGTTCTTAAATTAATACATAATTTTAAGTATATTCATTATAGCTGTCAAGGAAGAGCTTCATTCCAGAATGCCTGGACCATCTTGTGTAGGGATCAATGATCTAAAAGACATAATGTGTGACGATACCTAGAGATCAAGCGATGGGCTGAATGAGCTTATGTGAGACATAGACGTAAAAAAACATAAAAAGACATTTTCTTGTTTTAATTTTTAATCAACCAAAAAATATTTAATAATTAAAAAGAATATGTACCAAACATCTAAAACATATTTATAGAAAATTTATACATTTTTTCAAAGTTTTCGACAAAATGATAAATTTCAAATGTAAATACTAAATAGCAAATAAATAGGAATTTTTGGAAGCCCTTTGTAAAGTGCTTCGAAAGGCTGTTTTGAATCTAGGGTAGACAAAGTAAAAAATCAATCTTAAATTTTGACTTAAAAGAATTGTAAATTTTTTTTTAAAAAAAATAAAGAAAAGATAATAATGCACGCCTAGGTGGGCATGATCGCACCTAAGCACGCATTAATGATCAACGATTGCTGTTGACTACTAAATAAGACGTTAAGCCACTTGACTTGGTGTTTCTGCCACGCATCGCACCTAAGCACACCTTTTAGAACATTGGTAGGAAAGGGCGTAGGGTGGGTTGGATCGGTTTTTGACCCCAACATGGTCGACTTGATAAAAAAAAGTCAAACCAATCTGCCACATTTATATGTTTCAACCCAACCCAATCAAGTTTCAGTTTACTTGGATTGGTCGGTTTGGACTTCGAACCAAAAAAAAAAAAAAATTCTGTTAGACAACAAAAAGTAAAAACCATAAACACCAGTTGGACAATAAAAACCCATCAAGACGTCAACCACACAAATTACTGAAATAAAAATGCTAAATAATTCCAATCATCAAACCTAAAATGTAAATACAAAATTAATCATCCCAATAACCATCACATTTCTTCCAATTTGGTCTTCTATTTGCGTGACTTCATCATATCCCAGAATCCAGATAAGCAGACCAGGTTGAAGAAGCTCCAGAGAAAATCCAGATAGCCCATTTGCTAAGATACACGTCAAGAAAAAGTCTGCCTGAAATAAAATGGTGAAAGACAAGGAAGCATTAAGGTATTACATCCATATTCCAGGGAAGTATATTATACAAACAGACCACCATAGCCTATTCCCTCCAAAGAAATATGTAAGGCCACTTAGAAATTATGCTGATCATTTCAGGTACACTTCATTTTTATGCTATTAATGAATTTGATAGGCCACAGACTAAAAACATATCAACATTTCAAATTGATGCATTAGTCAGATTACGAACATAGCATAGATAAATTAGGAAGTCACATTTCCAAAAAAATAAGACCATCTCCATAACAGATTGACAACAGGATTCATGTTTTGAGAAAACAATAAGTCTGTATGAAACAATTCAATATTATTTGAATTATTGGATGTCATAATCATGCAATAATTTGCAATAAAAACAGCAAGTTGGCCAAAAACTCAGCATAAAAACTTGATTCTAAATTGTACAGAAACTATTGGAAACATATATTTATATGAAACTATTGACTGATAAATGTGTCTACCTGGAAACTTGTAAAATGAATGAATCACTTAGCGTTGGGCCCTTGATCAATATATATATAACTTCCATCCAATTGGTTGTAATGCTCAACATCTTCCATGTAGAAACCATCCAAGTTCGGTGAAGTTTTCAACCAATTTTGAATGCATACCAAGACCTCCACCATTTTAGGACTTAAAGATCACGGAAAGGATCAATGATCCTTCCTCCAGTACTAAATGCACTTTTTGAAGCAACAGTTGAAACTTGAATTGCCAACGCATCCCTCGCCAAATTGGAAAAGACGATGAAAACTATCTTGATAACATCCATGCCAGAGAAATTCATACCAGTAAAGTCTATATAAAAACTTCAAGTAAAATCCTTTCTTTTTCCACTAGAATCTGAAAAATTTTATTCAGTTACTGCTAATCAACTTGGAAATGTTATGCTAGCCAGACCAAGAAAATAAGAGATTTACAACACGAAAAAGTTTGACCAGTAGACTTACTAAAGGTCATTAAAAAATACAAAGGAACAAAGTCAATTGGATCTTTTATAGCAGAAAAAAAAAATAATAATAAAACAAAATCCTAGCATTTGTTCTTTACTATGGTGTGAACTGGAAGGGACTTTCATGGCAGGGAAGAAACAAAAATCTAAAGTGTTTATGGACTCATTAACAAAGCAACAGTTGAAGTCAAGTAAACATTAGCTTATTTGCATGGCAGTCCATTGATCATAAGTGAAGGCATATTGTGCATAAGTCCATTGCAGGCAAAATGAAATCCAGCAAAAGACAAACAAATCCAGGAAAGGATAGACCACTCAAATGAAACTTGTGAAAGTCGAACATAACTACATAAGTGCAGGCATATTGGTAAATGGTAAGGGTAGGAGAAGAGGAGAAATGAAACTACAGTTACAGACTTCGAGGGAAATACATACAAGAGGCTAGCGGCTAGGAGACCGGCGTGGGAGAGCTGCAGCTTTGACGATGGGGAAGAAGTCTTGCCTCTCGCGAGTCACGGCTGCCTTTGAACTGAAAGAGAGATTGGGGATTTCAGGATTTCTCACGGTTTCGATTTCAATTTTATGGTTTTTATTTAGCCCCGTTTGGACTCCATTATTTTAAATTATAATGAAAGAAAAAATAATTTTTCAAAAAAGGAAATATTTTTTTTCGATTTAAAATTACCGCAAGTGTATGGTTCGTAACAAGTAATAAAGTGGATTTTTAAAAGTCCGAATATCGTCCCTCAGAGATTGAGTAGTTCAATTCTATATAATCTAGCCTTAACCGAATCTAATTGAGTGAAAATATGGTCTAAATGCAAAAAATCCTAATTTCAATTAAGAAACCCTAATTTCAATTAAAAACCCTAATTTCTATTGAAAACCTTAATTTCTCAATTAGAAACCCTAATTTCAAAATTTCTCTAATTAAATGATTCAAACACTCAAGTAAGTGAAATTAAGCGAGTTTAAAAGCTAATTTATTAAAATGAATCAAACTAAACTCACTAGGATCACGAATCCCCAACTGAAGTTATAAAAACCCTACTTTCATAAAATTAATGATTTGATGAAAATTTGCCAATTCAATGTTCCTAATTCTATCCAATATACTCTCTCGATATATATTAGACCTATTCTTGCATACCACCAGCCTATATCTCTATGGATGATGCAAACGTACAAGAATGCATGTAGTTTTGTGAACAATTTAAGAATGGCATAAAGCATAGGGGTATATCTCTATCCCCTATCGGACCCTATGTTAATTTACACCTTATCGAATCTATTCCACTTCTCTCGAATGTAAGAAACAAGTCATCAACACTCACACAATCATTGGCCACTAATTGCGGAAGAAAATTAATGCATGTAAATCAATCAAATTATCCAAACGAGTCTTTATATTAAATTCATGAAATATAGAATTAAAATAACAAACAACGGTTCATCGATCATCTAGTAATTGAAAACCTAGCCTAGAAGATTCATAATTACAAAAAAAAAAAGCGAAATTAATAAATAGAAAGAATAACACCCATATGAAAGTTCTTGAAATCTGAAATCTTGAATAAAACCTTGAAAACCCCTTTGAATCCTTGTGAAATCGGCTTCAAGTTCGTGTTCCTTGCCTCCAAAAGTTGTATTCTTCTTCTCCCTGGACGTTCTGCCCTATTTCTGATGAATTTCGACTTTTATATCATGTCCTCAAGGAGCCCCGAAAGAGTTTTAATTAAAAACGGAAGTTCAGATTTTTTTTTTCGAAATTAAGGCCATGCGGCCGCATGGTGTTAAACCATGCAACCGCATGGTTCAAATTTTCAACCCAAAAAGATCCCTGTTATATCATGTACGACCGTAATGAATTATAACCATGTGGCCGCATGGTTATAAAAAATTTTCCGTCGGATAACTTTCAGTATTTTGGTCATAACATTCTCTTCCGATCTTAGATTGAAGTGATTCAAAGTGAATTGGGAAAAAAACTCAAAGATGTACACTTTTAATAGAAATAGGCTTCCTCAAATTCTAATGTTTACTATGCCAAAAATGGATCTCAAGTAGAGACTCAAAATCACGAGCATAACTTTTTCGCCTGAAAGTTGATACTTGATAATACTTCGACCATATTTTACCTCTTGACTCCTTTTCTCATCCGATTGACCTCTAACACTCTTGAATCTTCATTTCATTTCCCGTCTCATCTATGGATTATTTTCAACTTGGTCCCCGAACTATCGCTTTGTTCCGTTTTGGTGCTTTTTCGGCTCTTTTCTTCTGAATTCCATCTTTTCCATAGAAACACCTACATAGCATAAATTTAACAAGATTAAGTCACAATTCAACTACTTTGTCCATGTTTAAGTCATGTTTGTGAGCTAAATAAGTGTGTAAAAACACACTTATCAAATACCTTTTGTCCCTATAAACTTTTGCCGCTAAAAATGTTTACCTCCATCACTGATAATGGTTCAGGGAGTGCCAAAGTGTGTGAATATGTTCTTTATAAAATTGATCACCATATGAGCGTCATTAGTTGGTGCTTCTTCCACCCTTTTTGAGACATAATTAACTACTACAAGCACATATTGATTTGTGAAAGATGATGAAAATGGTCCAACAAATTTTATACCCCATACATCAAAAAGTTCGGCCTCAAGAATGGTGTTCAAAGGCGTTTCATTCCGACTTGAAATATTTTATCTGCGTTGACATTGAATACAATTCTACACATACCGATGGACATCTTTAAATAGAGAGGGCCAGTAGAAACACAATTATAGAATTTTTGTTGCTGTTTTTTTATAACCACAAAGTGTCCTCCACATGCCGATGAGTGACAATGTTTCAAAATTTATAGTATTTCCTCATCTGGCACACGGCCTCAAAAGATCTAGTTGGGACCTCACCTATATAAGATTGGGTCTTCCTAATTGTAATATTTCAATTTTGAAAAGAATTTTTTCTTTGATGGCTTTTGAACTCATGAAGGATCATATTACTGGATAGATAGTTAACCATATCTGCGTACCAAGCTACAAGAGAAAATGTAAATACCTATTCGTTTGGAAAAACTTCTATAATGTTTGTCTTATCTATTTTTTCTATCAACTTGAGCCTTGATAGGTCTGCCACCATATTTTCTCTGCCTTTCTTGTCCCAAATTTCCATATCAAAATCTTATAGCTGTAGGATCCATCAAATCAATCTTGACTTGACATCCTTTTTTGACGACTGATATTTCTAGAGATGGCAAAAATAACCAACCCCTCCTCGCCCCGAATGGGGCCAAAAACCCCGCCTTGACCTGTTGACGAAGTAAAAAGAAAAAAATTGTTAGTTTGAGCATTATTTGTTTTGGATTTAAAAATTTTGAATTTATATTTTATTCTCTAATAATAGCATAACTCGAAACTTTGAAAATAAAATATAAAAAAATAAAAGGAGCAAGCCACTGCCCCGATCTGTCTAAGGTGGGATGGGGTAGGGTGTGGGCGTGGACACTGCCATCTCTAGATATTTTAGTGGTCGTGTAATCTGTGATGACAAATTATCTTTGAACCAATAAGATATGCTCTGAATTTGTCAAAGGCAAATACTACAGCAAGTAGTTCAACTATGCATCTAACAAAGTTCAACTCGCATAGTGAAAAAATGAATTATCTTATCCCTCATTTTAGGGCTGGACAAAACTTCTGAACTGAATCTAACCGAGCGGTACTTCTTACGTTAAATATCCAAATGGGTATCTCAATCGAGAACTGATAGGTTTGGTTCGATTCTTACTTCTAAATCAAGAACTGAAGAACTGAATAAAAACTAAATAAGAACTGAATCTCCTTAATTTTTTTTAAATAATTTATTTTAAATAAGTCAAATTATTTTATTTTTCTAAATAAATTTGCTAACTAGTTAATTTAGCTCAAATCCAAAAATATGATTTTTCTATTTATAAGTTTCAGTTCAAAGCCAACTTAATCAAATTGAGACAAATTTTATTCAACTATGATACTCTACCGTAGTGTCATTTTTACCGTTCTAGAGAAATCGAATTGAAGCTCGACAACGCCTCTTTTAATTATTTTGAGTTCACTATCTTCCTCTTCCTATAACTTTAACAATCAAATCTATAAAGAGCTTAGCAAAGAGACGCAGAAGACAAATAAGATTGGACTACATTATTTTGTAAGAGTTAAGATTGAACATATCATTAGTTGAATTAATGTAACTTTGTAAATAATAAAAAAATTAATTATAATACGAAACTTGGGAACTTAATGGAATCGAACCGAACCGAACCGACCCGAACGGTTCCATAATTAAATTTGGACTTGATAGTTTCACTTACTAAGTACTCAAAAATTTGGAGTTCAGTCGAACCGGACAATGTCCAGCCCTACATCATTTGATCTAATATTGCTCCCAATGCATAATCACTAGCATCATACAATCACTCAAATGATAGTGGTCAATTTGGTGTATCTATCATATTGCTTAAATAAAAAAAATAAAAAAAAATTTAAAAGTGTTGAAAGATATCAAACACTCATAAGAAAAATTAAATGACACGTTCTTTTCAAACAGATTGTATACGGGCTTGTGATTTTTGAGAAGCCCTTTATGAATCTTCGATAGAATCTTGTATGTATAAGAAAACTTCGTACTTCTTTAATTGATGTTGGTGGAGATAACTTTTCTATAATCGGAATCTTTACCTTATCCACTCAACTAAGATTCTATGACCAAGCATAATTCACTATAAAGTAGCATTTCTCCTAATTGAGTACCAAATTTATTTCGTTACAATGTTGTAAGACTATGTCAAGGTTCATCAAGCAACTGTTAAATGAAGACCCAAAACTGAGAAATCATCCATAAAAATCAATCTATCCAGCCCTAACCTCGCATCTCTAGTGGGATACCCCTATAATTGATCCAATTGTTTGATATGGAGGTGCTTTGTTTTAAAACAAACCACCTATAAGCAAAAGCTTAGTTTGGGGGCCATATATAACAGAAAGAGGGGCTGGTGCTCTTGCTATAGTTTGTGGCCTTGTCTTGCCCATCATACATTGCTGGGATGTGGTTGGAGTATTACATAACCCAAATGGAGTCATTTTATATGCAAAGGTGTCATAGGAGAATGTAAAAGTGGTATTTTCCTTATCATATGGAGCCATTGCAATTTGATTATATCCCAAATACCTGTCTATGAAGGAGTGATGTGAATGTCTTACAATCTTTCTAGTATCTGATCAATAAATGGCAATAGAAATGATCTTTTTGAGTAGCATCACTTAATTTTCTACGGTCGATGTCCACTCTCTATCCTGTGATTGGACTGGTTGGTATAAGTTTATTGTTTACATTTTTCACCATTGTTATCCCTCATTTCTTTGGCATTACCTGAACAAGGCTTACATACTTATAGTTAGAAATAAGATTAATGGTCCTAGCATCAAGAGGTTTGATAACTTCAGCTCGAATCACATCTGTCATGTTCAGATTGAACCTGCGCTGATTCTTTACTAATGGCCTATACTTGTCTTCCATCAATATGTTATGCA